TGTAATAAAGAGAAAAATTATAAAATGTAATATATATTAGAGTGAATATGGGATCGGGGATGGGAGGAGTATAGATGAGTATGAACATTTTTTTTTTCTCTATATTCAGTTATAAAAGTATTATCCATATCTATTCAAAGGATTTTTGGTTAAGAGGTAAACAAGTTTGTACAATATTTACGAGTACTAGCTTATTCGTCATCTATAAAAAAAGATACATAACATGTGATTGAAAAATAATAATAATGAGATTGAATCAAATACTTTACAATTTTATTTTTGTATATTAATTAAAATTATTGTTTTTTTTGTATAAATTCAAGAGTCGTACACCAATTTTCAAGAAGCTCATAAAGTATGTAAGAATAGTTTATGAAAAATATATAATAAAGGTTAAACACCTTTAGTTGTCCTTATTTATGTAGAGTTTTTTCAATTTCATCCTCGTTCTTTTAAAATTTCCAATTGAGTCCTAAATAGTGATAATTTGAATCAATTGGGCCCCTGCCGTTAATTTGGCTTAATGGAGTTAAGTTTTTGCTGAGATTGAAGGTTGATGTGTCATTTTTTTACACGTGGCATACTGAAAATTAAATACGTGGAATTTGGTGATTAAAAAATATGAAAGGAATGTACTTGTGAGATTGTAAACCTTGCACAGACTAGGTGGTAGTGTTCTTCTTCGTTGCGGTTGCACGAAGGTGGACATTGATGGAGAAAGGAGATCTTACAATTTGGATTTTCGCTTGATGGTTGTGAGACGCAGCGATGAAGATGATTGTGATTGCTAGTCCGATTTCGCCCAATCTTCATTAGGGTTTTTCAATCAACTAATCATCATGCTGCTTTTTAAAAGAAAGAAACATCTAATGTGCCTCCTCTGCTACAAATTGAAATCAGCATCTCTTTTTCTTAAAAGAAAATGAATGCTAGCCAAATGAAATCAACGTTTTCTCTCCCAGCCAAATGAATAAACGCCTTTCTTCTTTCTAAAAGCAAAATGAAAATGAAAGCCCCATGTGCACCGCTACTCACCAGCAAAGAAAATTGAAATGCTTTTCTCTTCCAAAATTAAAATCATCGTGCACCACTTTTCTTTTGAATTACCGCTTCATTCTCAAAAGAAAAGAAAAGATGTGCTTCTCCAATTTTTTTCCTTCGTCGTAACGTTGTGTGCATTTTTTTTTTAAATTGAAAATGATAATGTTGCTAAGTGGGTGAATCTAGAGAAGTTTCTTCTGCAACGGAGAAGTTTCTGAATCTTTGCGATTTCCGACTCTCTAGGTTTTTGGATTTGCAAGTGAATCTGGGATTGATGATGAACGCGAGAATGAAGCTGCGCGATGAAGATGATTGTAGCTGCTGGTTCGATTTCGGCCAATCTTCATTAGGGTTTTTCTGTGATTGGGTTTTCCTTTGCAGGTTGAAGAAGAAAATAGATGATGATGAGCTTGAGCACTGGTTACATTGGCCATGGTGGCGATAGGTTGATGGTGCACGAGGAAGATGATGGTGGTTCTACAGGATTGGGTTCTCTGGTTCTGGATGGGAAGATGCTTTTTTTTAATTTTTTAATCAAAATGTTAAAATGTTTTTAAATTCCACGTTGAGATCTCTGAATGCCGGGTTTAAAAAATTTGCCACGTCAACTTCAAACCCCAACAAAAACTTAACTTCGTTGAGCCAAATTTAACGGTAGGGGCCCAATTAATTCAAATTAGCACTATTACTCAATTGGAAATTTTAAAAGAACGAGGATCAAACTGGGAAAACTCTACATAAATAGGGACAACTAAAGGTGTTTAACCTATAATAAAAATGTACATTAGTATTTAGCACATTAACTTATAAAATATTTAATGTGAAACATGTGCTAGACTGAGATACACATATATATCACATATTGTTCTATATAGACTTTGATTATTAATAGAACCACAACCAAATCCTCATTTTTCTATTTTTTATTTATTTATAATTTTATGTTTCGATACTTCCATAACTGAAATCTAATATAGAAGTTTAGACTTCAGTTGATAACGGAAGCCAAAAGACCATTATTTTTTACCTCACTTAAATATGATTAAGTTGTTCAATCGAAAGTACAATGTCCAAAATAACCAAATGCCAAAATCCTTTCTTACACTAATATCTTATGTCCATTCAATGCCTACTTTTTGTTCATTCGTGAGTGTACTACCTTCATTTTATTTATTTGATGATATATGTAAAAGAGTGCTTCAAGTGTTGCTAGATATGTATAAATGTGTTTGCTCCACTTCTTTTCAAGACACATTTCTAACCAACCTTTATCTTCACATCTTCAATCTTGTTGATACTTAAGAATTTTTATTTCTTTTATCTATAAAAAATGTAATAAAATTAAAGTAGAGCATTTAGGGTGCTCAAACCCTTTTACAAAAAAGTATGTACATGGCACCATCTTCCATGAGGTATATTTTTTATATGCATAAGCAAATTCCACCTAACAACTCAGATATAGGCCTACAAAAGATGTTTTCCAAAAATCATCTATTTAAATAACAATTCAGAATCTCTTTCCCAATATGAAGTCAATTATAATGATAGTGTAGGAACTTTGGCAAAGAGTTGTTGCGTTAATAACATTGTAAAACATTGGCCTCCTTGTAGCAGGTTAAAAAATGTTTGAGCATGTGTTTTAGCAACACTCTTAAAGCATGAAGAAAGCACTTTTTGAGTTTACATCCCGCCTTTAGTATTTATGTAGTTTGTGCTCTCCTACTAATCTTATAAATATGTACGATTCATTAAATCATCTTAGTGTACTCTCTCACAGCCCTCCAAAATAAAGACAACACCCCTCACCCCTAGTATGGGATGGCATGTGACAATGTTCTCTCATCTTCTATATACACATATATGTATGCCCAAATGATTGAGTATTGATACAAATTATATATGAAAAACTTAAGAATTTTTATTGGTTCACTCTTTGACATGTACTCTAAATAAAATTTAATGACATGTACTATAAATGTCTTACATGTCTATTAAAGTGAAAACTATCGTTAATATGCAACTAACCTTGAATGAACTACTAAGAATTTTAAATTTATTAAGCAAAAAGATGTTTCTTTAAAGTTAATTTCATATTAAATGTAATTTTTCCTTTAATAAACACACATGGTAATTACCGAAGACTAAACATGTGTTCAATTACCTTAATTATTAAAAAGTTCAAACAAAATTAATGAAATTAAAATTTTAATACTAAGACTATAATTATTTTTCTTTTTATACTAAAAGTAAAATATATCAATATTTGTTGTAATGAATTGACTATTTATAACAAATTTAATATTATAAGGCAAAAATATTTTGAATAGCCACAAACAAAAGTTGTTGAGTTATACATGACAATTGAGACTTCAAATCAATTAACTTCAAATCTTGTTCACAAAAATCTTAAATTTGACTAGTACACACGTGACACTTGCACACATGTAAGCACAAAAGAAATTCGTTTCCTTTTTGATAATGTATGACAAGTTGGTGGAAGGTAGGTATATTTTACAACATATTGAAAATTTAACTGGAAACATGTATCTATATATCAACTAGATATTAACATGCTTTCACTCCATGCTTTATCTTTCCTTGATGTTAAGTAATGTCCAAACTACACTATCATAAATATTTTCCACCATATATCATATTTATTGAATGTCTAACATTTAATATCAATAAGGAAAATTAAAGTATGATACTAATTTTTTTCAAATATTATTCTTAATGGACTTCTTTTATAATTTTATAAATAATGTTAATATTCTTCACTCACTCATGTAATTCCTTACGATTATGATGTGTCAATGCAATTTGATCATCTTGTCATCCATATAATGATTTTTAATATATAATAAGAATAGCTATGGATGAGGAATTTTTTATGCCTATATTTGTTATGTTTCAATTGAGTATTCTTTATAGTAAAAACAAATATAATAAATAAGACAATTGAGTTGTCCCAACATGCATACAAAGTTTGTCAAAAACAAAAAGAGAAACTTTATTAAAACATAATGTGTAAAAAACAACAAAGGAGTATGAAATGGAACATAAAAGACATTTATAAAAAAAAAAGATTAATTGAGCATAGAAATCATCAAGACATCTCTCATTGTTGACTCCTCTTGAAATGATCCCTTCTGTGTGAAGCTCCAAGAGGTTAACTTTGTTGGTAATAAAACGTTTTCTATTTTGCTCTCACATTATGTCTACGTTTTCTATTTTGCTCTCTCACATTATGTCTACGTTTTCTATTTTGCTCTCTCACATTATGTGAAGCTCTAAGAGGTTAACTTTGTTGGTAATAAAACGTTTTCTATTTTGCTCTCTCACATTATGTCTGCGTTTTCTATTTTGCTCTCTCACATTATGTCTTTCCAATGTGGTTGCATACATAATCTAGCTCATTGCTTTCAAGACGCTTCATATGTAAAAAAGTTCATAGCTAAGAACCACACAACCATACAATACACTTTTTTCCTAAAAACTTTTTTGTATTGTCCTTCTCTAGTTTCCTCATTTTCAAAGAATATCTTCTACCCTTCAAGTGTCACTATGCAAAAAAAGGTTTTTTATACATGCTAAAATAGACTTTTTACATCGGTTTTCGAGCAGGTATAGAAGTAGAGGGTATAGAAAGTTTTCTGATTTTTATACATGTTCTAGATAGGTATAACAAGTTTCCCTTTCTACACTGGTTCTAATAAGAACATGTATAAAAGTCTAACTTTTTATACCTATTGGTGTTAGAACCGGTGTGAAAGTGATACTTTTTTCATACCTGTACTAGCTTCAACAAGTATAAAAAGTGCCATTTTTTAGAATATTTATGTTACTATCCATATCTAAACCTGAATAAAATTCATTCCTAGAATATTGCTTGAATAATTAATAAATGGCAAAATAATCAATATTTTTTCTATTATTAACACATCAAAATAGTTCCTCAAAGTAATATTTACCTAACAAAGTTCCTAAATATATTTACATAACATAATTACACATAAAATAGTGTCTCAGCTCATGTAATATTGAAACATCTAATCATTTACAAACGGTTAAAAGAAATGCAACCCACTCCTCCCAAACAACCTTTATGATATGTTGTTCCATTGGAGATATGTCATCAAATATCTACACAATGAATAATTTGAGTCAAGTTATAATATTAATAGCTCAAGATCTTAATTATAAAATGTTCACCTTAAACATTAAAAATGAATAATGTTATAATGAAATATTTAAAATGAATATTAAATCCCAAACACAGGTCTCCTTATCAACATTCCACAATATGAAAACAAAAACAATGAATAAATAAAGCACTTACTCTGCATAAATAAAGCACGTATTTTTGCTTTCTGAATATCATCAGCATACCTGGGCCGACCTTGACTTACAAACCCTGCTTTTGTCACCTATGAACTTCTACTAACTGAATTTTGGCTTGGCTGTTCCACCAATTGCATTTTTCTGCGCTCTCTAGATTCTGTTAGAGGGGTTAAGGAATAGAAAAGAGATATAGCATACATTTTGCATGACTCAACAACCAACATGAACCATAGGCAATTTTGAGTAAGAGGGGTGCTGACAATATTCTCTTCAATGCATTATTATTGATTAAAATTTATTGAGAATCGCAGTAAATAAGTAGCGCCAACATCATCACATTTAGCCAATAATAATGTATTAAAATAAAACATGTAAGATAATGTGATGTGCTATTAGCATTTATCACAAGTAACCTACCACTTTCATCCTTGAAACACTATGACACTAATAGGTCCTCTTCAATGACAATAATTTGACATCAAAAAAGTCCAAATGTTATATATTTCACTATAGCCAAATTGATATCATTCAATAATCAAATATACTATTTGAGGACCAATTAGGTATGCAAGTCAATTTGATAAAACGCTTTCAAGGATCAAATTGGGATTAATTCCAATTTCACTAGTTAGTAAGCTTGTTACAAATACAAGGATACGAGATGAAGAAACACCAAGTGTAGACTTTTTATTAGAATCATCCAAGCTAGGAGGCAACAATTTCGCAGCTTGTGGAGATCCCACTTTTCTGAACAGGGAAGAAAAAACAAAAAGCATTTTCAAAACTAGCAAAAGCAAAGACAATTATCTCAAACAAGTATGGCATAAAACTATTAAGAGAAAGAGTTATTCAAATGAATGAAAACAGATGAATGGAAGCAATCACGAATAACCTACAAATACCTGAAATTGTCTAGAGATTCGCTTGAAAGTGAAAGACAGTCTTCCTGAGAGCAAGAAAGAAGCAGCTAAGAAATATGCAAACCGAAAAGGAGTTGCTAGCTGAAACTTATATAAGAAAACACTTACAGGAACATCAATATTGGAATTCAGAGCCCACAAATTGACCAATACTGCAAAAAGTAGAAACCATAATAATTGAGAAAGAATGTCTAAACAAATTGTTCATGGAAAAGAGAATGCAAGCTTGCCTCTGAGAAATCAACTCTTTATGCCCATCACTAGAAGGCCTAACACCATTGGGCTTCTTTATTACTTGGTTCCTCGCTAATAATTTGTTCCACTTTGATAACAAAATCCTTACCCTGTTTGATATGTCTGATCCCCAAATCAGTGAGATTATAATTCAAAAAGTTTACCAAGTTATTAAAATAAGTGGCATCAAACAACACTGCTACGAAATTAAGATTTGACATTAATAACAGACATTGAAAAAAATGAGAAGGAGGAAGTGTTACATCAGTCAACCAGAACATGACTTATACATCTCAGAATAAATTAGGGTATATCTTATCTACTATTTACTGTCTGATAACATTTAAAAGAAGAATTAGATTAAATTTTCAACTCCTCTTTCCTCCTACGTATCTCGCTCCTTCAAATATCACTAACAGCATAACAAGCCGCAACTAATGAATGAAAACCTGGACTTCATATTTAAAATGAAGCCGCAACTTGGAACCAGAGTTGTCACTATAGGAATAGTTGCCAACCAAACTAGCTAACCACGTGTTAAGGTGTTTCTTTCTACTTCAAGAAAATGTCCTAGTTGTTATCAAATATTAGCTCGTTGCAGTTATCATCAAATACATGTTATCCAGGTAAATCCAAGGACAATATCAATAGACACCAAGAGGAAAGAGGGAGTATTAGGAATAGAAAAGGTCGACTGTGATGGGAACTGAGAAGAAAAAGATAAACACACCTCATGTCCTGTAGAACCGAAGTTTATTTACACTCTGCAATATAGCTGATATGTGCATGGGAATGGCTTTATGTAAAGGCAAAGGACAAAGAACCTGAAAAATAATTAACCAAAGAGTTAGATAGTATTAAGATATGTGTCAATTACATGCAACACAAAATATTAACCACGTATTTAGATTTACCTTCAAGATAAGAAGAAGGACACTGGTTTGCTCCTTAGCAATTGTCTTACTCAACCAAGTAGCTAAAGTTATTCCACCGCCTCTGCTAAAAAACCTACAAGCATACAACAGAAAAACTAAATCAGAAAATATAAATTATTATAGTTCAATATTATCATGCTATTGAGAAAGTTAATTGTGTACCACAACAATATTGAAAAATTTTGTATCGTCAATATCTACTCCATCAATTTCTCTTGCCCGAAAAATGTCTCTTCTTGTTGCATTAAACTAAAAATATTAACAACAAAATGTTTATCTGAATCATCTAGGTCAGGCTTTGGATTCAATAAATCCCTAGGTTTTTCTTCCTGCAAATTTGGATTAAGTCAGAGACATTCAATATGAAACAAAGAGTATAATTGTGTACAAGCCTGCAAAAAAAAGCATCAACTGCCTGCACCAAAAACAAACAAAAATTTGAACAAAATCAGACACTTAAACTATGACGCCTTAAAATCACTTACTACAAAAGCAAAATTATAACCCGAATGTGTTCACAACTAATTCTACGAACGCTCTCAAAGAGTTCAAATGATTCCAAGTACATAGAAAAACTCTGGAAACGAAACGAAACTAAGAGGCTCTTTACTTTTTCCATTAACCAAAACTAAACAATGAGGTTATAAACAAAGTTAAACAAACCAAAGAGAGAGAGGAAAATGTTTGAGAACGCACCATTTCTTGAGAGAGAGGGTTGACGCCGGTGAGTTTGCATTGCGTGACGACGATTTCCTCAAACTGATCGATCTAGTTGTGCAAGAGATCTCTCTGCGAAAGCAAAAACTTATGGAACGATTCTGCGGAGTTCTCAATCTCCTGCTCCACAAAATCTTCGGTCCACGCATCCATCGTTGATATCGAAGATCGAAGTTCCCTCGACGCAATGCGTAATTACACGCATTTAAGTTAAGGTGATTGAATGAATCTCAGTGTTTCTCTCTGGTTTTCAGTTCGGAACGGAACTGGTTAGGGTTTGGCTCGGAGAATGAAAGAGAACGAAGGAGGGAGAACGGGAAGGAGTGAGAACGAAAATAAAAATTGCACAATAGAGGAGAAGAGAAATATTGTACGAAAAAGAAAAGAAATTGAATATGAAAAGCAATGAATCCCTAATATAATTTTTAACCGGTATATAGATCAATCATTTATACTTATTTTAAAGTTAACTAAGTATAAAATAAACGATTTTCTATACCTATTTTTATTATAATCCATATAAAACTATTTGTATTTTTTTACAATTTTGTCACCATATCTCTTTTTATACCTGATCTTATTATAATGGGTGTAGAAAAATTAATTTTATTTATAAAATTGTCATCACGCCACTTTTTATAATTGATAGATTTTAATAGGTATAAAAAATCGTTATAAAAAATATATTTTTCACTAATGTGTTAAAACAAAATGGAAAAAAACTTTGATAAAGAAATAAAACATTTTAGATAATCGTTGTAAACATTTATGAAATTACACTTAAGCAAACACACATAAGCACATATCCAAACATGCCATCATAAGACCAAACTCAACAAGTTTTATTATCCCATATACAACTCCACCACTTGGTAATGACCAAACAATCATTGTGAAAACTTAAGCTAAACCTTGCAAACAACATACCATAAGCTACAAAGTTACACAACAAAACCAAACACCACAACAATAAAAATACAAGACAAATAATATTTCACACTTTAGAGGAACACAACTAAAGCTAAACGAGCACACTCCCCAAAGGCACCAAAAGGTTTTCAAAAACCTAACTATGATACCAAATGTAACACCCCGATTTCTAAGATGTCACAGGTTATTAAAAATTGGTAAAATTTAAAATTTATCATAACGCGGAAATGTACTTCAAGAAAACCTTATCAAATTACATTATTTTGAGTGATAAAATAACGAAGGAAATACTCCAATTATATTGTCTTAACTTGTAAAACAAACTAGCTTTAAATGAATCCCAAGGTTATTCTTCATCCTCTATCGAGTGAATCATGTCTCTGGAACATCTATAACATTATCTACTCACGTATCACACATTATACGATCATAGCCGATAATTTCATTCACAAACAAACACAAACATGTACGACATAAGCGACCAATAAAACAATCATAACAACAAGATACATATTGATTACATCAACCATATATCAAACATACAACAAGATACATATCTTCTGATTATACCAACCACAATCAAACACACAACAAGATACATACATTCTGATTATATCAACCATAATCAAATACCCCATACATAGTAGTAATAACAATATGATTTTTAATCCTCTAACATAAACAATTCAATCATCTTGAATTACTCGACCCTCGATCCTTGAACTTTGATCATTAACCCTTGATCTCTAACCCTTGATATCATCACTAACATCTCACACATAGACCATTGGTCTATCCACTCATTAGCACCCATGCAAACTACTTACTATAACCATTATAGTAGCATCACTATCCACATAACATAACTTAGAGCATCTCAAGTACCATGATCATCATCATAGATACACCACCATCATGACTATCCTAATCATGAACAAAACCATGAGTATCACCGTACCATAATACCATAGTTGAAAGAGTCATTCTCACTCTTGTACCCTACCTCATCGACTATAGCAGCTCCTACACCTCACTTGTAGCCTCTCCTATAGGACATTTGTAGCCTCCCCTACATATCATCTCCTTCCAATGCACACAAGGCAAAAGTAAGCATTTATTCGTAAATAGAACTAAGATTTACGAGGTACAATAAGTAGACTTATCCTCCACTTTCATGTTCATCAATCACATACTCAGGTACATCCCAACACTCATTCATGCTCTACTGTTAACCACAAGTCAAACTGACCCTAAACATAACCACTAACCTCAATCACTGATTATCATCATGTTCCATAGCTCCTCAGGATGGGTTCAAGTCCATTCTTCACTAAATTCACCATTTTCACCAAAAATGCACTATGATAATCGATTATTCCCGAAATCAAACTCAAAACCAATGCGTAGATAATCGATTATAACTAATGATAATCAATTATTTCCAAATCGAAACACATCTTGGACATGATTCAAGCATTCAAACATACATACATCAACCCTATATCACGTGGAAACATACTTAACCCATCATACATGCATTCAAGCATCACATACCCATGTAAACATACTCAAACACTTATAACACATCACTTGAATCATCCAGATCCAATCATTGACATGTTGTACCCCCAATAATAGGGTGAAAAGATTCTGTGATAAAAATATCAAAAAAGGATTTTCAATCAATCAAGCTAACTATGCATAATGCTTACAAATGAGAACCAAGAAGATGAAAATTCTCCAAAATAAAGCTGCTAATGCGAGGTTGTTCTCTCCAACTGTAGACCTCTGGTTCACGATCTGAATGGTTAGAATCAATAACCATACGTTTGGAACCCTTGTTCAAAAATCAGTCTGATCCAACGGTGAATAACTTCACAACTACGAAAATACCAATGTAGGTTTTATGTTTTGCGAGAGTTGCTTATTTTCTTTCTTTCTCTCTCACTTGCCTTTTTACATCTCTTTAAATGAACCTAATGTGCTCTACTAATTTGACTTATCTTCATTAAAACAAAGTGAGACATAATGGTACACATTATTTGACTTATTCTCCACATAATAAGGGAGCTCAATAACTCAACACTTACAACATATATTTGCATGGAAAACCCCAAACATTATAACTTTGTTCTCCCTTAGCATCAAACCCTTTGTTGGGATAACCCAACAAAACATACATAATACATTCATAGGAAAAACTCATCACAAATATTACATAAACTTTATGTTCATTCATACACAAACTCTTACCCAACAAAAACCACAAATAATCATAATCATATACATATGTATCAAAACAAGGATTACCAACTAAGATAATAAAGAACACATATAACATACAACCATAAACAAACAAAGGTAAGTTTCTCCATACCTTGGTCAATCATAGTGTTTTATCTACAACTCTAAAACACCACAAATCTTCCTTTACACTAAGAGTTTCTCGTCGCTTTCTCTCTTCTTCTCCTAAAACGTCAATCTCCTATCTTCCTTTGTTTTCTCTCTTTGATTTAGAGTTTCTCGGGTTTCTAAACACCAAACCACCCCTTAATTAATTTCTACACCAATTAAATAAAGGTAAAAGACCCTTTTGCACCTAGGCAAAAATATAAAAATAAAGAAATAACATAAAAATGTTCTACAAAAATATACACTAAATAACACTAATTTTCAAAAAAAACCCAAAATCTTAAAAGTGCTTTATTTTTAAAACTCTTATTTTCCTGGATTTTACATGATGAATGAATATAAATGATTTTGTATATATAGTGTAGATAACTAAGGTGGCATTGTGGTCAATTATGAACATAATATTAAGTATAAGACCCAATAATCACATATTATAGTATTAAATGGTGGGGACTTAAGAGAAGTTCATGCTCTTCAAGCTTTGTAGAGTAGATGCAAGGAATAATCTTGACATATATAATTGAATTTGTTGATCAAAATAATTATAGCTGTTTTGAAAGAGTGAGTAACTAAGAAAAATAGATTTGAAAGATTTGACAAAAAGTTTATTTTTACCTAGGTCATGGACAAAAAGGTCTTTTATTAGATATAAGAAAGAGTAAAAATCTTCACCAATAAATACATAGGAAAACATGTTATGAGAATTGCATCTTCCCAAAAGTAAATAGAAACATTATGATTGAGAAGAAGTGTACCAAATAACATCAACAAAGTATCGATTCTTTCTTTCGATAGTATTATTATTTTGTGATGTGTGAGAGCAAGTTATTTGATAAAAAATACCTTAAAAAAGATTAAAAATATCTACAAATATTGTTTTAATACAATTTTTCTAAAAAGAAAAATAGATGTAATTTGTTAGTATGATTATTAGAAGGCGAAAATTTATATGACCACATTATTTAGACATTTGACAATTATGATATACTAATGATATTATATCACGTGACAAATAAATATTTGAAAAATCAATATAATGTTATAATATTTTATATAATGTTATAATTGTAAATAATACTATTAGACAAAATTATATATTAATTTCTTTATCAAATGTTCATATTCTTATTTACATATTATATGCTAGTCATATTTATTATTTTTAAACAGTTGTTGCTCATAATTTAAGATGCTAAATATGTCACTTCAAAGCAACTCACTTAACTTTGTAATAAACACCTATGATATATATGAATTATAGAAAAAGAAAGAGATATATATTGCATAAAACTTTTCAAAGCAATTAAAAATTTTCCTTTTTTTGTCTACTTTTTTTTTCTCTAAATGAAATTTAGAATTATTTTCTGTTACCTTGAGTTTCTATCCCACCAAATGAAACATGTAATAAAGTTTCTTATCACACAGTCAACCTGGTGTAATTCTTTGATCCTTGTTTTTCACCCTATAACAATGTCAAAAGGGTCACTATAGTACTACTACATGTTGTCCATCAGGAAGGTGTGGCTAAGGTTCTAAGGTCCTTTTGGTAACGTTTCTGTTACTCAAAAGACTGTCACATGTCGTAAGACTCAGTCAGTCTCTATAAATGGTGGAAAACAATTAGTGTCTGTCCCAAACAGGGACTCTTCCCCCCTCCCACAACTAAATCAGATCCTGTTAGAGGCATGTTTCACCAACATAACAATAAAGCAGATGTTGGCAACCACACAGTTTCATTCACCACCCTTCAATCTGTGGGACCCAAATCCAAACCCTCTTCCAAACCCTAGCTCACCTACTTCATTTTACACCTTTTTTGGATTTGTTATCAAGTCCAATCACTAGCTAACCCTAGCTCATTCATGCCATCACTATTCACTAGTCATTTTTTGCATTGCCTCTGTGGAAAATGGAACTTGGAAACATCTCTAGAAAATAACAGATTATGGTGTTTTTTAAATAGATGGGAGACAAAGTATAATGAAATTTACTTTCTTTAGGAGAATAGGACATAATGGAAAGGTTGTATATCAAATGATAAAATGTA